TTAAACAGCATATTAATAGATTTGAATAACAATAGAAATGTTAATACAGGGCTTAGAGAGCTAAGAAGGTTTAAACAAATACAGGTTTGCAATTCATTGTCCTCCTGACCCACTGTTGTTATATCACACAGTTGCTAAAGGAGATGAGATGGCAAGGGAAAAACAAGTAGAAGCTTAACCTGCCCCTCAGCTGTACTCAGTGTAGTAACTTTCTTCCCCTTCAAGTTGTCCTTTGCTGAGACTTTTCCGTACAAATTTTTAACCAAGGAAAACTCTGACCAGGTTTAACCAGAAAACTTTAATAGTTGCTTTCAGATCTTTCAATTTCAGAAAACTCCACTGCATTATAAGCGTTTTAAAACAAGGGAGACCATGCAATTCATTGTTTCATGAGTGATCGTGCCTAATTATTGTGCCAGTTGTTGGCACAACTGGGCTGGCTTCTGGCCACTGTATAATCTAGCAAGGAAACGGGGATCCTACAGCAGCTTCCTTCTCCAAGTGCCCATTTTCAGATTGACTGGCTCATGTACGTGTGTTGTTTGAACATGAAGACTGAGTAGTGTTTCATTGTGCCAATAGTGCCATTCATTACGGTAGCACACTTGGAAATGGCACAGAGTCAACTCAGGTGTTGCTTTGCTAGCTGCCATTTCTATGACAGCTTCCAGACTTCATCACTCTATTAGTGAATAAGTGGAAGAGTGTGCTGTGGAAGAGCCTGTGCATTTCTTTCACTGTCATAAACCATAGATGTCTTTTTTTCAAAAAAGGGGTGGAATTAGATGGAGTGTGTTCACCTGAGCCAATGTGAATCCATAGATATATACATGTGGCCCTTTGCAGGCCAACCTGTGATAGCTTTTGCTATGCTGCAAACAGACAAGGTCGCTCTCCTCAATTTTCAGACTAAGGTGTAAAGATGCATTGACAGGGCTTCAAGCCTGAGATAATGTACCTCGCTCCAAAGCAATGCTCATTAGGTTAGGCTTGCCTAATGCCTTTATTTCTCCTCTGATCTGCTGCTGGATTGCCTTTGGCCTTTTCAGTTCACAGCAATATTTGCTCATTTCTATCTGAAGAAATCATGTAATGCACCTCTAATGAGGAAGAATTATTGCAATGGTACCTGAACAGTCAGTACTTGTTACATAGAACTGCACCTTTTACCTTATGTGGTAGAGGTACTTCTAGTATAAAACATGACTAAGCATGCAAAACATGTTTAAAGCAAGATGTAAAACCTTATAGAAAAAAAGAGGACTTTTTAAATGGTTATATGCACAGAATCAGTTAATGAACTGAACAGGATATTAAAACACTAAGGAAACATGTAGCTTTTAAGGTTTCAGTCTAAAATCTCAGATCCTCACTGCTCTGTGTTGCTGGAGCTAATACTGCCACTGTCCAGATTTCAGTGAAAGGATTCATCCTCTTTTTTTTCCCCTCCATGGAGAGTTTTCCCTTAGTTTGCACTAGAGGACTTGTTCTCTGGATTCAGGGTCAGAAGGTGTTCCTTACGCAGAAATTTATTGAAGGACATGTAACAAAAATAGGCATGGATTATAAAAGCTCAGCCTTTCTCCTAAATTTACATTCATGTATTATCAAGGAACAACTAGCATATGAAAGAATCAGCAATGCACAGAGCGCTTGGCCAGCCTCTTTGGGTTTTGTTGAAAGCAGAGGTTTGATAGGAGTGAAATTTGAGGAAGTTCCAGTTTTAGCCCACAGCATTTTGCAGAAGCAGTCAGAAGGTGATTTATTTCCACGATCTGTAGTGGGATTCCACATGACATCTGAATAAAGGTCAAGTCAACTGCGTGAGGCTTTCTTTTTGCAGCTGTGCTCCCTTGAATGCCATGTTTAATTAACGTAAGACCAGTGTGTGTACACTCTCTTTCTTTAAAGTATATTATCCCTCTTGCTTTTGTAGTGCATCAACAAACCTGCCATCCACCTGTGACCCTGAATTAAATACACTTTTGATTACAAAAAAAAAATCCATTAATGCAGTGCACGTCATTATTTCAAATTGTGGGGAAATAAGGCAAATCATGTACAGTGAACTAGAAGAAATGTATGTAGCTGCAGTCAGAAGGCATCTGGCTAGTGAATTTGGTGAATTGATTTCCCAAAGCAGATCAGCTCTAGTGAGGTTGCCAAGGTTTAATTGAACGGCCATGAGTCAGCCAATTTCCATGCAAGAAATAATTTGTAACTCTAAATGGTATGTGCTAGATGTAATCTAGTTGTGCTCGTGAATCTTGAGATCACTGGGTTGTGTACGCTAGGGTGGTACTAAGTGGTAAAAATATTATTATAATGTAGAAGATGACTGTTTGTCAACCTCTGCTTTATTTATAGTGTCTAAAATGATCATGTTTGGTTTCTTTTTGCAACGTGTACTTTAGGAGAAATTGATTTCAAGTGATCCAAAATTCATATCAGAAGTGTACATAATCAGAATGATAGGATCCCAAACTGGTAAGAAGGAGGATACAGATTTCAAGTCTCTCTTTTATAGTATTTGCCCATCTTTAGGGTACTGGTAACTATTAAATATGTTGCTTTACCTTTGTTGTTCACTCTTGAGGCTGTAAGCTTACCTAGACTCAATCAAGTTAATACTTTCAACACTATTACAACCCCCCCAAATTGCTGTGTTTGTTAGAACATATTTAAAGCCTCTTTCCCAGTATTGCAGAAACACTTTTTTCTCAAAATCTTTCTTCAACCAACAGTGGAAACATGCTAATTACCAGGAGAGACATGGTGCATGCCACAGAGACTGCTTGTCCTGCGTGAAGGTAAAGATGGAGCAAGGTTAATGAGCGGAACAGCCCAAACAACCCAGAAATAACCTATCTAGCAGTATCCATAACAAAATATTACTGATGTAGCATATGAACTGGGCATCCCTTTAGACGTGTACAAATTAAATACTTTCTTATATGCGTGTAAGTCAGCCTAATTTTACTGTCCTCTAACTGCACATTTTACAGCCTGACCCAAATCTTAGGTGTATAATGCAATCCAAGCCAATGCATGCTAACATGCTTTCATAAACAATTACTGCAATGCTGGCTATAAATACAATTTTGTACAGACAGTGGAAACACAGTGTTTTTTACATTCTTAAGGACATTGTTTCACATATGGATGTTTTGGAGTGTCAGGCATTGGTGCTTTATGAGTTCATACAGCTTTATCTCAGCAGACTTGGTTATTATGTCAAAAATGTCTATATAGCTTTAGACAGGTGCCATTTGAAAAATCACCAATTCTTTTTTCTTCCAGAGTGAATTTAGGAGCAGCTTATATAGGACTATTTACCTTCCACACCTTACCCTGTGTAGTTAGTGCAATCCCCAGAGATCAGTGGTTCCTAATCAGTAAGTCAAACTTGCTGATAAGGTGGCAGATCCCTGTTACATGCACTTTGTACTTTCACCTAAGCTTGCTATAGCTACTGTGATTAGTCAGGAATGGGATGTTACTGGTTTTCCAAGCAAACATCAGCTGCTAAGGGGTAGAAAGTTATGCTATAGATGGTACTGAGGTCTTTACGTCTTAACAAATTAAATTACATGTCTAGGCATGTCATGTTGGTCTTCACTGTAAGAGGAATCTTTATTTCCATCTTCAGTTCTTAAGAATGTCAGTTCACAGGACCTGTAAATGATGAGACCTAAGCTCAGGTGTTATTCTTTGTAATAGACTGTCTACATCTGTTCTCCCTTACGGATTAGCTCACCATATTTTGCTTTTGGCTAGTGGCAGCCCTACATAACAAAAGGATATTTCTTTTGAATTTACAACTGTTTTGTTTCACAAGGTTTTTCCACCAGAAATTCCAGCCCTGCTGTCTGTTTTATCCATGGTTTCTGAGCCATTCTGACATAATATGAATCATCAGTATCTGCCTGTAGTTGAAGGTTATAGGTGGAAATGAATGGTCTATGAGGAAGGAAAAGTGTCAATAATATATCTTTTCATCAGTATAAATTTCCCTCCTACTATAAGGCTGTGTTTTGCGTAACAGTAAAGCATAATCACCAAGATGCTGGTTTACTCAATGTTAATAGTTTCACAGATCTGGTCATCCTTGGAGGATTCCTAATGTACATGTATAATGTGTGTGTGTGTGTGTGTATGTGTGTGGGACCTATAATTTCCTTGTATTTTACAGTTGCTAATGTATTAGTGTAAGAGGAATTCCTCAAGAAAGCCATCATTTTGGAATTTCTAGGTAGCAAGAAGAATGTATTATGGTAACGTTTCTACACTTTCCTCTGTGTTCCCTTTGTTTGAGGCCATCAAAAAGGTCATGGACCCTTTCAAGGCTCCAGAGTCAGCTTTTCTTCCAGTGGACCTGGACCTAGAAGTGAATATCATTTCCACCATATATTTTGTCATCCACCTATAAGATTGATTTATATAAAACCCACCACCCTCTTGCATGGTTGTTTAACTCTGGTCATTTCTCCTCCCCTTTGGCTTCCACTTTTTATTTCCATGGTACTTGCTGCTGCTTTTTCTTCATCTTCATCCTCCCATCCTTTCTTGTCCCTGGGAATTTCTTCATTAAGTTTGAACTCTCCTGTTCACCATAAAGAGTCTAGTTCTATGGTTGAACAATCCTTCAGCACCAAGAGATCTTTTTAACCTTCTTCCACCTCCTTTTGAAACCACTTTTACACTTACTTTTTCCCCAGAATAATTTTAACAATTGTTTTCATATCATCATATCTTCCTTGGTCAAGTGACCAGTTGGAAAAAATACATTTACATCACAACGTTATGTTACCTTGAGGAGCAGAGCAAGGCAGTAATAGCACCTCTGAAGCCAGAATATACTTAGGCTAATTGTTGGCTTAGAGGTCCCTATATCATTTAATTAGTTGTCCTATTATTACCCTAGAGTGCTTTAATTTTAAATGAAAGATAATAGCTGCCTTATCTCTAAGGAAACTGGTCTTGATTTTATTAACTTACAGGACAGAAGAATAATTGGCACATATCATTGTCCAGAAATGTATTCAACAAAGGTATCTTTCATTGTTTTCTAATGTTTTTATCCTCAGAGACTTAAAATTCAGGTCCTGACCACTTATGGTCATTAAAGATCCCATGGCACTTTTTTTATAATGTGGTCATCTCAACCCCAAGCACCTGGCCAAATATCAATTTCTGTAACTTTTCTGCTTACCTAACATTCCCCACCACCACTCACCCACCCCATAGTTTCAATTGGCTACAGCATTCTCCATTTCCTTGACTAAAATATAGTGTACTGTTCTGCACTGTCAGTCACCACATTTCACCTCAGAGGTGATTGTGCTTCACTGGGAAGTGGTTCTTTGTAATGGTTGTAAAGCGCTTTGGGATCCTTTTGAACGGGCGGTGCTCTGTACAATTAACATAATTCGTTATCATTCTATCTCAGGATTCATTTAGTTACAAAAGCATGTTTTATTTAGAGTTGGGCGAACCTACTTGGTGGAAATAACACTCCCAGCTCTTTCTAATCTGACAAGGAACCTTTTGTCAAAGATTGAAAAGTTAGGTTAATTTCTTTCTGGGCTTTTTTTTTTATTGTTGTTTGTTTCTTTCTCTTTTCACATTCATTTGTATTTCTGGATTGGAACTTTGGGAGTTCTTCACATTGGGAATTCAAAATACCATGAAAAATGCTGTTGTTGTTACGGTCAATCCACTGTTCCAGGTGCAGGAGGGTCAAATTACTGCTTGAGAAGCACCTGAACTTTGCGGTGCTTACCTGACTATTTTAACACTTGAAGGTTCGCCCATCGCTAATTTTTACTGTATTTTGCATTATTTCTTCTGAAAAATTCTTGGAATATTGAAAAATGATGTGCTACAACTCTGTTATCAGTGTGATATATGCAGATGATGATAATTTGCCCTAGAAGATAGTTTAGAATATTGCTAACTGGGTTTTTTGCCCAACATCATTAATCTTACTATCTACTGTGAAGGTTACCAAATACCTGTAGCATTTTGCTGTGTTAAGAAGTATACTGAAATGAGAACAGAAGTGGCAAAAGAATCAAAGCAAAAAGTCATCTGGAGAAGTGATACCATGTCACCAAAACATGTCCAGATCTAACTCTAGTGGACTAAAATAACTTTTCCTGTATTTGCATTACATAGAAAGTATACCAGTATAAAGAGCACTAAAATTTCTAGTATCATTGCAGATCAAAAGGATAAAATACTCCAAGTAGATTCAGCCTAAGAAGATTTAAGATGTGAACAAATTTGTTGGCACTAAAATCTTCCCAAAAATAGTAACATAGAATGCACAACATTGAGGTGAAAATAACCCAGGCTATGGGGGTAAAACCATTGCATTAGTGGATGGTATGTCAAACTTCCCCTGATGTCATTGGAACTAAAGTTTCTATTCTTTTCTTAAGGCTATGTGAAACTATGGAAAATGTACTTTCCAAGTGGCTTTGCACCCCTCTTGTAAAACAGTTCCGCTGTTGTGTTTGGATGTTCTTGGGATCAATGATTGCCAAATGCCTGTAATTGCTTTTATTTTCAGGATACTGAAAGTCTTATTACTTGCCTGAGATCTTATAGCAAAAGTGAAAACCAGTTTTGTCTTACCCCAAAAACACAGAAGAATTTTCCAAATAACTACACTCATAAGAAGGAAATGTCCAAAAGCTCTCTTTAGAATTTTTATAGATGTATTTGAAAGCTTTTGCGTGTGTTTGCTTTTGTTTGTATTACAATAGCAAAATACTTGTTTTGCCTTAGTTTTTTCTAAGGCAGAGGAGAAATTATTTGATGGCCTTCCTGGCTAGAACACGGTGTTTCCTCACCATGCTCATATCGTGCTACAAAGTTGTTAAAGGTATTTTTCTAGAGTTCCAGCTCAACTTTCCCATTTTTCCAATGCTTTTCAGAAAAGATTCATTTCCCTAACACCATAGAAAATTCAAAGATTTCATATGGCTTTGATGGAAAGCAAGCAAAAATAGGTTATTTGGACTGCTTCACATTGAGTCTTTTAATCTAAAACTAAGATATAATGAAACCAGAGGGGTGCAAACTCACATGTATTGGGGGAAAAAAAAACGAGAGAGGGGGATATCTGGCATCTCGGCAATGCCAGTTGCATCACTTGAACAGATGTAATCACTCAAATGACAGTGTTTCAGTAGGTCCAAAAAACTTTTGTGAATATCTGACTTTCCTGTTCATAATACTGTGCAGTGGATGCTACTAAACCCTGTATTCAACCAAGTTCTCTCACTGTGCCATGTGAAATATTACATAGGGGTTTTTTTGTTAAAATAATGGCAAACACAGTGCTATATATTGGGTAGTGCAGTGAGGTATCTGCTGCTGCCTTCTAATTATTACAGACAGACTGATGCCATATTATTGTTTAGAAATCCACAACAAAAGTCACAGTTTGTACACTTTCAATAATAATCACAGTATGTATTATTTACATGATAAATTAATAATGTGGCTGAGTTATTCTTAAAGGAGCTGTGGAACAATTTAATCTCTTATTTGGCCTGGAGTATATCTGCACTACCATCAGTAAGTCAGCATAATTATTTAGCTGCTCATTAGCTGTTATTGTTTCTAAAGTATTTTAATTTTGCTCTGTAATCACAATTCAAAATACATAGTTAGAGGGAAGGAGGAGGAGAAATACAACTCCCTAAATAACCTTACTTTTGTTTTCTAGAAGTGGATTATTTTGAAGTTCTCCTACCATACTTCAGATCTACTCCAGATTGCCTAAGAGTAGAAATTAGTTCCTCATCTTTGAAATCCTCTTGCTTGTCTGAAGGGTTTCTTTGCAACTTTGTATTAATATTTTTTTTTCACTGAACTGCCTTTAGAATATATGTAGTAGCTAAAACTACCCATTGAAACAACTGTTCAATGTATATTTGATGTGATTACACTCTGGATATTATTTTCCTTGCTTGAAATTGCAGATCTCTGCTATTCCGGTGTTCAGGTCTCCACAGCATGCGCTGTATTTGTGAAATTCATTAGCACTGGGGAATGGAGTTTCCACATAGGTATAGTTTGGCTGTGTCGGTGTGTTTTCATAAGTAACCAGCAGTCCTGGTTGGGATATAGGGACTGAAAATTTGCATTCTCTTCTGCAGTGCTCTGAGCCTCATTTTACAGAGGCAGAGACCTTGTGAATACCTGAAGTTTTTGTTAGAGCAGAAGCTTTTATTTAAAAGAGGAAAAGCCAAAACAAAGCAGACCCTTTTCCATTTGATTTCCCTCCAAAGCCCCTCAAAAGTTCAATATTTGCCCAAGATTTCCTACCCAGTGGCAGAATCCCACTTTCAGAGCTGAGCATATACTTCTTTTCCAGGTATTGCTTCTGCTCAGTGAACATGGGGTCTAGGGAAATACTATTTATTCCATTATACTATATACATTATACTATATACTATACTGGCCTTATTGCTCATTGAGTTCACAAATAAATGACAATAAATATAGTCACAGCTTAAAGTATTTCAGGCAGGCTGACATCCAATAAATTAGTAACGTTAGATCTAGCCTTTGTCAGCATGGCCTCAGTTTGCAACCGATTTGGCTTCCTTTCTCTCTTGCTAAATCTGCTTCCTTATTTTTTACAGATGGATCCACATGAAAATATTTTGTTGAGCACACTTGAAATTAAAAATGAGATGGCTGCCTCCGAGGCGGTGATGGGGCTTGGGGACCCTAGAAGCACTATGCTGGCGTATGACACTTCAAGCATCCAGTACCGGAAAGCTGGCTTACCCAGACACAGCTTTGGTCGCAATGCCCTGGAGCGACATGTGGCACAGAAGAAAAGTAGGCTACGGAGACGTGCATCTCAACTGAAAATTACCATCCCTGACTTGACTGATGTAAATGCCATAGATCGATGGTCGCGCATATTCTTCCCTGTTGTTTTTTCCTTCTTCAATATTGTCTATTGGCTTTACTATGTGAACTAAGAAACAAAGCCACACAGGAAGCAAGAACTGGATTTCTCTTCAAATCGGTTGTACAGCCAAAAGTGGGACTTAGAAAAATTCTATTCAGGAAAAAAAGTTATTTTAAAACACCTTAGTTGCTGGCCCACTCTATGGTCTGTTTTTATAATGTTTTGCTTGTATCTGCTAAATCACAAATACGTTAGGTTGCAGTATGGACATATCCCCTTATCAAAATATAAGTGCATTGTGAGTATGAAGGCAGATTGGATTTTGACAATCACTTCTGTCTCATTGTCCCTCACTCTTGGGTTTTTTTCCTTCTTTTTTTTTTTTATGGCCATTTGAGTTTAGAGATAAAAATTATAGAGCGGCATTTGAGAAACAAGTTCTGGTTTTGACAGAAGTACATACCATTCCCTGGAAAACTGCATATCCGAGTCATGCATCTACACTTAAGAGAGTGTACTAAGTTGTTATCATGCTTACAAAAAACATATACACTTTACCTTTTAAATGTGTAAACTTGAAAACAAGTAGTGCCTATCATCTTTCCAAGATGATGATGGTCAGAGGTTTCCCAACCATATTCAGGTATTTCCTGATATTTATTGAAAGAACCAAACCTTTGACTGGTAATATTAGGGTTGGGTATTTGCACAGAAGCTGAATTAAAAAGCACTAGTTTTGTTGGGATTTTAAAAGAGAGAACATATGCTCACAGTCACAACAGCTGCAGTTGTGATCAGTAGAGGAATGTAGCAATGTTGTAAAAATGCATCAAGTCTGAACGGGTAGATATGCTGCTGGTTTGTGTTGGGGAAAGGAAATCATCGGTCCAAAGTGCCAAAATCAGTTCTCTATGTGGATGCAATTTTGCCCTACTTTTCTAGGGTGAGGAGAGCTGGAGAGCAATATAAAATACAGCACCAAGGAGAGGGAATGCTACATGTATGTAAAAGTCTGTGTGTGTGTATACATGCACACACACATATCTGTACTGTGCAAATGAATGTTGTTGGTTATAGTACATACCTTAGTCTGAAATACACAGAGTTGTGTGATTTCTTCCAAGTTTGCAATCTTTCCAGTGCTGTGCTTGCTACTGTTTTGCTTAACACCTTACGTCCAGTTGATTAAAGGTATCATACCTCTTTCAACAGTAAAGATCCAAGCATATATATTTCAGTGCAAGAAACTGTCAGGGTATTTTCTCAGTCTGGATTAGGCAGTATCATTTCACTTTTTATTTTGTTTTCCTTAATGCGCTGTTTTAAATGGGGGAAAAAAAAAAAGTAGCCATCACTTTAGGAGTTTAATTACTCTCTTGAGTGTTTCAATTTAAAAACTAGCAAATTTCAGGTTTGCTTTAGAAAACTTTCTGAAATAAAAGTGAGGAGTTTTTTTCACTCCATAGAGCTTTACTCTTATAGGCAAAATAGAATAGACAAAAAATTTTGTAGGTAAAGGAGAGTTTGTCATTTCGTCTATTGTGGAACTTTCTTCTGCAATGAAAGAAAAAAATCATAAGAAAATTATAAAAGACTAAAATTCTGATGACTTTTTCCTAAGTCAGGTCCCCAGCATTGTTTGACACAAAATATTTAATGAAGAGCCACATCTGTTGTATCTACAATACTTCTCATCTGCATATCTCTACAAATCTCTGAAAGAAGCTAGAATTCAAGTATCTTCCAAATAGTAAAGGATTTTTTTTCAGGCAGGTGCTTTTTCCCCATTGAAATATTCCTTTGGCAATATTTTAAGGTAGTTCTTAAGAATATTTTTTGTAAAATATTTTTCATAATTTTTTTGTTCTTGCTTAAAAAGAGTAAGTTTTTTACAAGTTTCTGTGGGGTTTTTTTTCCCTGTTTGACAGTGAATGACAGTGATAGGAGGAAACCAATTCTGGGAACTAATAGGCCAATTTTCTGACTCCATTTTGAGCATATCCTATGCTTATTTCTGCTTCAAATGGGAGAGAATAGTCCTGAGCCTGCAGTGGGATTTGCTAGGCATACACACTGCTGTTGCTTTCAGGGAGTTGTCTGTATGTTCACGTACTGCCTCCAGGTTCAGACTCTGCGGTACATAGAGACAGGCTTTCATCATACTATTGACTTTTCAAGTCAAAATGTTGCTTTTTATTCACATACTTAATTTCTGACTGCATTTCATGCATAATGCAATAAGCTTTGTGGATGCATTTGGAATTTCAACTGATAGGTATGAATCATGTTGGATTTTTTTCCCATTTCTAAGAAAAGGAGCCACATCAAAATTCAGTATTTCCCTTCAAAGTCTGTTCTTTAAAAGTGGTATTACCATAAATAAAAACAGTCTTATAGTATTCTTCTGTACAAACTTGTATTTCACAAATTGCTGCCAACTCCTTTTTTATTTCACAGAAGTGTAGTGTGAATACAGGGAGCTCACAGCCTGTTTGTGGATGATAGACATCAAATATAAAACCTTATGGAGAATATGTTAACTCTCGGGATTGGTTTACTGCATCAGCTATTACAAAAACCACAGAGGCTAAATCCTAGAACTGCACATTCATTTATCTGAAGTTACAGTACAAGCCATAATACTCTCTGATGTCACTATTCAGAGAGTGAAAGAAAATGTCTGGTTTCTGCTCAGGTGTCACTAGGAAAGATATATTATGTGTGGGGAAGGAGCACTTTTTGCTTTTACTATGTCCTTCTGGCTATTAACGTGATGTATAAAATTAGTGAAAGAGAAGGATTCTATCATTTTGTACTAAGGCTTAACACTGTGATATAAAGAGATGGGGGTGAGAAAGACTGGTGAGGCACTGTCAAGGGAAAAGTATAACTCAAGCCCAAGGTGAGCACTTTCTCCTCTTCTGAGATACCTGAGTGAAAGTGAGAAATTATGCCAACATACATGAGATACTGGGTTTGCTACATGTGCTACCCTCCAGGTGAAATAGAATAAATTTACTTTTACTTTAGAATTGACCGCAAATGAATATTCTAGGTCTTTTAATCATGTTAATTGTTGTTAGTTTCAATAAGCAAAGTATCAAAGTTAATAATTTAGGTAAACCTTGTAATATAATTATAGTTGCACATTTTGTTGTTCTATTAGACATAATAGCCAGCAATTAAGGTGTTTTCATCTTTGTGAAATTCATGGGCAAATTACGACTATAACATGGCACAGTTTTAATGAAATCTTTGAGATCAATCTGTAAATATATACTGTACATGACTGCTAGTAACTATGATACACATTTTCAGAACTGAAAATTCATGCAACATTTTTCTGTGTTTGCATAAGGAATGTTCTGTTTCTATCCTATTGCAGTTTAATGGCTGGGAAGAAAGACTCAAGCAATGACATTGTCACCATTTCTTTTCTCATTCCCAGGCGAGGAAACCTGAGTCTTAGATAACAGCATGTCGCAGAGTTCTTCAGGGAGTTTTTACATTCAGATAAAAAGGACGTAAAATCTGTAAGGTACAAAAGCACAATGCATGGAGAAAAGGAGTGGTGGTCTTACACCTGGGGGAAAATTGATTTCAGACAAATATGCATTAAAATTAAACCTCAGTTAATTTTCACTACAATTGTTAGACTGTGTTCCAATTCTGTACTATAACACAGTACTAAACATAAGTGAACGGATGTTAAACATTATATGTGCATATGGACATGTACCTAGTTGTCTATATGGGCATATGTGTGTATATATACACGTACTGAGTATATATCTGCTCACACATTCATATGTTGGCCTGTTAAAGGAATAAGCCAATAATAGTTTTGTTTCTACCATCAAGCAGTGTATGAATATATTTTTGAGAAAAAAAAAAGATTAATGTATTTAAAAAAAACCAACTTACTATACAGGGTAACTGGGCATTTCTATATCAGCCAATCAATGCTTATAATTCGTATGGAGCATTGCGCCATTTGACATGATGATAGTACTGTACCTCCTAGCATCTGAAATTAGACTAGTCCTCACATTGCTTGCCTATTTCTTCTCTCTCTTTTTATAACAGCATTGTCCACTAGTAAGTTTTCAAAACCAACAAATTCCTTAGGGAACCAAGAAAAAAAGGCAAAAATATTAACTATTTCTAGAAAATAATCTAGGGTGGGATGGCCAGGGTACAATACATCAGTAGTGATCATAACATTTTGCTATGTGTACATAGAACATACAATGTGAGCAACCATAACTTAAGCTGAACATGTGTAAATATTATCAAATTTCTTAAACATTTTTAACTTCTAATTTGTACTTTATGGTAAGGCAAAAAGCTAATTCTACTTATGGTTTAGATTCATGTGTCCTAAAATTATGTAAATAATTAAATAAGCTGTAAATGAGCAGTCAATAGATACAGTAATTGTTTAGTGACTTTTTTTTACTAAGTACAATAATTGCAGTGCTCTAGCAGAGTAATTTAAACACCCTTTTGCATAAACAGATTTGGATTCCAGATATTAAAAAGTACAGAAAGTACTGTAGTGTAAAATAACCACTGCAGCCACTGCTAGCACAGTCGAATCTCTTGTATGGTTAAAATGTTTGGGCAACAAAGGTTGTAACTTGCCACTCAGTACTCAGATTAGCATATACAAATAGGGCCTGGTTTTCACTTACAATATGACACCTTTATGTTGCTCCAGTGAGTGGAGAGGTGAAGGAATCCAGTGTAAGTGAGAATTCGGCTGTTGGTGATTTCATTACAGAAAGCCTGCATATTGCGTCTGTCTGTTTCTGAAATCTGTATCTCTTACGGTATCTAATAGTAGACTTATATTTTACTTTACAAAAAAAAGGATGTTTGACTGTCATTAGATAGCATAGGCCCCCAAAGCCAAAGAATCTTCACTCCAGAAATTGTTTAAAAAGGAAATCCAATAAGTCACTGCTTAACACCAAAGGTAAAGCTTAATAAAATGCACTAGGAACTTTGTCGAAATTTTTAGGAAGCAAATGGAATGTTGATCAAAAAGACTGCCCTATTCTACTTTGTAAAAATAGTAATAATTTAAATACAAAGTAATAAAAAAATTGAAATAGATCATCTCTACAATAATATGCAACACTAACATTTCATAAGTATAAAATTATTTTCTTTGTAAGTGCTTTGAGAAAAAATGAAACTTAACTGATGAAAAATCTCACCTCTACTTTCATACTAAGGGTTGTATTTTTTTAATGTTTTTCAGACATGAGGTCATCTATTCCAATTTGATAACATTTTGTATGTTTTCACTGTTACTGTCATTTGACAGATACTCACCAGGCTGTATTGTTCGTGGTCTGTCCTGTTGCTTTCAGTTGAAGACAAAAAGAACATTTGAACATGATTAATTCTGACAAACTGACTATGATTTGACTTCTATCACGTTTTTATTTGCATGGGTGTTTAAATGGTTCTGTTAGTACTGTCTTTGCACAGTTCTGATTTATCTTTTTTTACTTAGTACTATTTACTTCATAATGTAGTAATCATCAGCCTTACTAATGACCTTGTAGCCTTTCTTATATGCACATAATGCACATTTTTCAATGGCTAGAAAATGCAAAATACTAGTGGATATCATTGCATCAGATCTTCATGTCTTTCTCAAAAGGACTGCTAACCTCTGGGATATA